CTTAAAAGGGTATTTTTCCCCCAGAAAAAGAATGGAGAGGGACGGTCTTAGTTTAATGGATATGAGCAGAAAATCAGAATTGACGGGTCGGGTCGGGTCAATTCAAGCTTCGTGTTACGGAAAAAAGTGGGAAATTTGGAGTGATCAACTAATGATGGGATTGGGGATAGAGAGAGGATTCTGATTTTGTTTTCTGCAATATGATTGGCTGATCAAACTCACGTTTATCCTGAGCAGAAAATCAGAATTGACGGGTCGGGTCGGGTCAATTCAAGCTTCGTGTTACGGAAAAAAGTGGGAATTTGGAGTGATCAACTAATGATGGGATTGGGGATAGAGAGAGGATTCTGATTTTGTTTTCTGCAATATGATTGGCTGATCAAACTCACGTTTTATCCACACTCCTTTGCTTTTCATCCTTCATATGGGTCCCCTCTCCACATTTCTATGCCACTAAATTATTGTAGGAAAAATATGCATTTAAATTATTTTTATTTAGATATTTAACTTTTTATTAAATATATTTACATATTTTATTTTTATCTAAAACTTTAAAAGTTAATATGTATTATCGGATAAAATCATTTTAAATATTTAAATAAAAATAGTATACTTTAAATATATATTTTGATAAAAATACTTTAAATAAAATGATAAATTTAATAAAAAAATATTTTGTATTTTTACTTGGAAAAATAATTTCATTTCTCATTTTCTAATTGTATTGTTGGTTATGATTCAACTATTTTAAATCTCAATTTCAGGTACAAAATAATTTAGAATTAAAATCCTAAATTTTTTCTTTTTGTACACAAAAGTTTAGGTCAGGGGTGACTCTCCTAGTCCAAGGTCAAGGCATACCTAAGACTCAATTGAGATTTACATAGGACTTTACAGATTGCCCAATATGAATAACGGTAATGGGATTTCGAACTTGGCCTTAGCCTTACAAACTCAATTCTTAAATCCCAAACACTTGTGACAACACTAGTCGACTAAAACCTTAAGTGTTTTTCTAATGCCTTTAAGTGGTATACTCTATTACTTGCAATGCCCAAAATATAGTAAGAAAAGGAGGGCAAAAAATATCAAAAGGAGAGTGTGAAAGCATCATTGTTGATTAGATTCATGGAATTTTGTCTACATTTGCATTATTGTCGTATAGCTGATCTAACTGAAGATTGACAGCTTCTCGTCCTGGACCTCTTCTAGCCATTAAATGATTTTATTGAAAGGGGCCTGATAAGAAAAGAGATCATAAGACATGATGTCTAAGATTTCACTTCAGCTGGGTCTTGGTCGCCACAAATATTCTTACAAACATCCACATCAACTGCCCACTTTTACAATAGGGGATGTAATAATTTAATTTTAGAAACACTACATATTTAAGTTAGAAAAACACTACATATTTAAGACTATTTTTTTAAGGTCTAATTTTTTTTTTGAATTAACCACTGGTATCTGATCTATTGACCGATCTTGTTTGAGGGATTTAGTGTTTCATCTCACTAGATCAACTGGTTGTTGGTAAGGTCTAAACTTTTCGATTTGAAGTATTTGAGACTAATTTTTGAGATCTAGAGTTTATATTGATGCCCAAAATAATTTTTTTTCTTTGCGTTTTCTTTCAATTTTACAATGGGTTTTTTTTGTTTCTTCAAAAATTAGAAAGAAGAAAAAAAGAATGAGAAAATGAGTTACGGAAGAAAATGAATGGATAACTCTTACATGTATCTGTTGGAATTTTTTTTATAAGCATAACAAATTGATCTTAAAATGATTACATAATGAAACATTTAACGCATGTTTTGATTAAAAGAATTGACACTTATAATAAAAGATACATTTTAAACATTTATTTTATAATTAAACCATTGTTTAGTTCTAAAATTGGTTGGGACTTAATAGACCTTTAAAACAAAAAATGTTTTAAAATTGAACTATCTTAAATCTCAATTTAATTAAATAAAAAAATTAGTAATATTCATAATTTAATTTAATTAATTTAAGAAATGACAAGCACCGAATACATAATTGAATAAAAAAAATTTGCCAACCCTCCCACACCCTATATGGTTCGGTCCCTGTTAGAACCTACTTGACTTGCATTGTTTTGCTTGTAAAAGGAAAATTCACTCTTCAAACTTTAACTCTTACAGCGCATAAAAGTTTTATATGAATGATCATATTATTTATTAAACATGCAAGAGAGAAGAAGGTGAGGACTGGCTGAAGATATCCATAATTAATTTTTCATCATGCTCGTATTCCTGCTGATATTTCTTTACATGGTTTTGGTAAATAAAGGATCCAACGAAACTAACTAATCTAAGTTGTACTATTTAAGCCAACGATCTATGCTGGTATTTGGTAGGTAGAATTTGTCGCTGTTGGAGATGGATTTGGATAATAGGAATCCTGCATAAAATTGATGGAATTAGTCTCTCTGTAAATTTTTCTTTTGAGGGAAGTCGGTACCACAAAATTCTCCTGCAAATAATGTTTGGCCATGTTCATATTGCAGGTGACGCCAGGGTGGCAAAATAATATGGTGTATCTATTTGGAAATTCGATCTTTCCATTGTGAGCAGCTTCTGTAATTTACTCATCACAACCATTCAAAGAGGAGGCTAAATTACGGATTTTGGTTCCACCAGATTTCCTGGTTATTAGCATTCATTCGCTTCATGGTTGGCAATGAATTATTGATGAAAAACTAGAAAAACTAGAACAATCTTTCCTTTTTTTCTCTTCACCTTGGTGCATATTTTGAGTGGTTGTTAGTATTACTAGCTGAGGAAGGTTTAAAACCATCAATCCTATTTGCATTTCAAGAGGCTCCAATTTTCAATATATCTATCTGATCACAAGACAGATGAGCTGAAGTTGGAGATGTAGATATCTCCCATTGTACGTATACTTCTCATCCTTAAGGTCCAGTATTTTTGAGGGATGGATCATCCAGTGAAAAACGATGGAACATAATTCTATGGAGAATGCAAAGGTAGATTTCCCTTATTTTGGAATTCTGGTGTGGTTTCAAAGGGAGAGTTCCCTGCTCTGGCTACATTGACACTCGGAAAATGTTTTATGTCGGAAAAAATAGTAAAAAATATGCCATGGATGCCATATCTGGGACTACATGGTCAGCTTCTAAGTTATAATCTAACTTCTCTAAGCATCCTTGTTAATAGATGGAATCATAGAGTTGATCTTCATGGTCAATCTGTCCCAAAACAATCCTCTTCTCATGTCTCTTTTAGATTTGCTTGTCCAAATCTTCACTCCATTAATCCCCTCCTAGTTCAGAAAAACTTATCTGAAAATCATTAGCAAGTAGGTGGCGTGAAGAGATACATTTATTACCTAGAGGATTGCAAAACCTGATAAATTCCTTGGAGTCTCTGTATATAATTCAATGGCCTGGTTTTAATTTCTTGCTGGAGGATATACAAGGCCTGAACTCTCTTAGATCAGACTGAAATCCTTACCTGTAGAGCTGCAATTTCTGACAGCCCTTGAGAACTTAAATATTATGTTCTGTCCAAATATCAGCAGTCTTCCAGGACAATTTGTTTACATTTAGCCCTAGATTTAAGGCTGCTAGACCCCCTGATTCCGGTTTCGTTTTGATTTTCCTTTTGATGTATATGGCTATATGCATTGAAGCCGTTTAAAGTTAAATTAGTTAACATGGAAACATGAACAGTTAACTGGTTTTATTTAAGTCTTGGGATTCATGAACCTGGGCTGCTGATGATTCTGTTGTTTAAAAAAAATACAGTCTTACTTAAAAGACTTATAGTAAAAAAGATTATGATATTGTTTGATGATATTTAATTTCCTTTTTGCTTGTTTTTGGCTATCAAATCATTTGAAAACATAAAAAAGAAACAAAAAACTTAGCAGAACCATTTAATGATAAAAAAGTGACAGGTCAAAAACAATAATATGAACGACAAAAAAAAGAAAGGGATAAATCAACATTGCACCGTTCAAAGTCAAGGAGGGATGCCCTACCATCGTTTTCTTTCTCACTTGAAACTTGGAAGTGAATTTTCAGTGGTGCACGTACCCACCAGTTGGCTTCCCATTGAGATTGATGTGTGTGTATACTTATGTATTTATATGATATGTGTATACTTATATGTGTGTATATGATATATATACTTCAGGCAAATTGCGTGGGATTATACTACTGGAAACTTTTAAATTGAAACCTTATTGGACCATAAGTTAGAAGGAAAAGAAAGGAAATACTTCTTTGCAGCAATATTATGGCGGAGATAGTTTTGAGCCCTCTGTTACAGGTTGTGTTTGAAAAGGTAGCCTCTCGGATTTTGAAAGAGATTGCCAATCGTTGTGGGTTCAAGGATGAGATCCAGAAGCTCCAAAGTTCTTTGCGGATGATCCAAGCTGTCCTCGAAGATGCAGAAGAACGACAAGCTGCTGATAAAGCGTTGAAGTTGTGGTTAACTGAGCTTAAAGAGGTAGCTTATGATGCTGATGACTTACTTGAAGAATTTACCCCGGAGGCTATGCTGCTAGAAAATGAAAATACTTTTACTCAGCAGGTCAGCAATATCATCCCCTCTTTGAATCCTGTTAAGGCATACCTCAGAAAATTGCCTGAGCTAACACGGATAAGGCAGAGACTAGACGTGTTATTGGAAGAAAGGTCTTGTTTCAAGCTCAAGGAAAAAGTTGGTGATAAAGATAAACGTGGACAGAAAAGAGAGACTGGGTCTTTTGTGGTTGAACCTGAAGTAATTGGACGGGAGGAAGATAAAGAAAAGATGCTACAGATGTTACTGTTAACTACTGAGGGAAGAGCTGACAGATCTGTCTCGGTTATTCCCATAGTGGGTTTAGGGGGCATTGGTAAAACTACTCTTGCTCAAACAGTATAATGATGAGAGGGTGATGACAAACTTTGAGCTGAGGATGTGGGTCTCTGTCAATGGTGATTCAGTGTGAGAAAGATTCTCAACTTCATGATGGAATCTGCAAATGGGAGAAGATGTGATGATCTCTTGGGAATGGATGCTCTTCAGTTTCAACTACGAGATTTGTTGTTGGACAAGAGATATCTGCTTGTATTGGATGATGTATGGAACGAGGATGAGGATGAATGGGATAAGCTTAAAACGTTGCTTAGTTTTGGTGCAGAGGAAAGCAAAGTTATTGTCACAACGAGAAGTGCAAAGGTTGCAGAAATAGTTGGAACAGTGTCTTCTCACCATCTGAAGGGTCTATCTGATGACGAATGTTGGGCTTTGTTCAAACAACGTGCCTTTTCTCATGGCCAAGAGGACAGGAACAACACAAACTTGTTCCCTATTGGGAAACAAATAGTGAAGAAGTGTGGGGGAGTTCCTCTCGCTGCAAAGACACTGGGTGGTCTAATGCGCTTCAAAAGAGAGCCAACAGAGTGGCTACGTGTGCAAGAGTGATCTGTGGAATGTTTGTGAAGAGGAAAATGGGATATTGCCAGTCCTAAGGCTGAGTTATAGTCGTTTGCCCTCACATCTAAAAGGGTGCTTTACGTATTGCTCAATATTTCCTAAAAATTATGTCATCAAGAAAGATAAGTTAATTCATCTTTGGATAGCAGAAGGCCTGATTCAACAGACTGAGGAAAGAAAATCTCTAGAGGAGATCGGAAATGAATACTTTAATGACTTAATGTGGATGCTTTTCTTTGAAGATGTGAAGAAAATGAATTTGGCGACGTAATAGAATGCAGAATGCATGGTATTATTCATGATCTTGCAAAATCTGTTGCGGGGGAAGAGTACTTTGTATTTGAAGGTGGACGCATGCCAAGAAATTTTGCTAAACTGCGGTACTTATCCGTGGTCTGTGATTCTGGATCATGTACTATTCCAGAAGCCTTGTACAAGCTAAGAAGTTGCGAACTCTAATTTTGTTGTATCTAAAAGGTGATCTTGGTGAAGTCCCAACTAAGTTGTTCTCAAGTTTCAAGTATCTCCGAGTCCTAGATTTGGGTAATTGTGGCATCAAAAGGGTGCAGGACACAATTTCTTGCTTGAAATATTTGAGGTACCTCAACCTTTCAAATACGTTGATAGAAATGTTACCAGAAAGCATATGCAGGCTTCATAACTTGCAGGTGCTGAACCTGTCAGGCTGCTTTGATCTCATTAAACTACCGAGCAGCTTGTCACGACTGCTCTCGCTAAGACATCTTGTAATAAAGGGTTGCGAAAGATTAACTCGCTTTCCAGGTAACTTCAGTAGACTTACATGTCTTCAGACATTGCCATTGTTCGTTGTTGCAAGTGAGGCTAATTTCAGGGGAAATGCTAATCTCATGGACCTGAGACGTCTGCAGCTCAAAGGAGAGCTGACCATTAGAAAACTGGAGAATGTAAAGCGTGAATTTTCAGCTCAAGCGAACTTAGAAGAGAAAAACCTTCGTTCTTTGGAGTTATCATGGGGAGATGATCATGAAGGTTTGAACTTGAACATGAGCAATGATTTTATTTGCAAAATGGGAGAGAATGTGCTCGAATGTCTTCAACCACCGGAAAATCTCAAACGTTTATCCTTAAAAGGATATCCAGGAACCTTCTTCCCAAGATGGATGTGTACTCCCAAACTTCTTGGTTTAACTAAATTAGAGTTGATCAACTGCAATAGATGTCACCATCTCCCTACTTTAGGGGAACTTCCATTCCTAGAGGTTATCTACATGTGTGGAATGAATGCTGTGAAGACTATTGGCCGTGAGTTCTATGGAGAAGACACGAGGAGATTGTTTGGATCATTAAAGGAGCTAACTCTCATAGACTTCCCTGATTTGGAACTCTGGTGGAGCATAAATGGGGGTAAAGAATTTCAGTCACTTGTTACATTAACGATCAATAAATGCCCTAAGTTGAAGAACATGCCGCAATTTCCGTCGGTTAAGCGTTTAGAATTACGGAACTGCCATGAAACTTTGTTAATGTCGGCGATAAATGTATCCTCACTTTCTATCCTAGTTATTGCTGTTTTTACAGGACAGTTGATTGTATTGGATCACTTGCTTAAAAACAATGTTAATCTCATCTCTCTAACCATCAGCTCCTGTCCCAAGCTTCGGTACATCCCTCCTAGTTTGGGGAACCTCGTCTCTCTAAAACATTGACAATTCGTTGGTGTGAGGAGCTTGTATCTCTGCCGCAGCAATTGCAAAACCTCAGCTGCCTGCAGTCTCTGGAGATCAGTGAATGTCATAGCCTTTCAGCTCCACCCCAGAGTATATCCGGGTTAGTCTCCCTTAAACATTTATCCATTGAGAACTGCAGTAACATAAGCTTGTTACCAATTGGACTGCAACATCTTACCTCTCTCGAGCATTTAACGATAATGTATTGTCCAAATTTGGTTTCTTTGCCAAATGAGTGGCAAAACCTTTCCATGCTGAGGAGTTTGTGCATTTTAAGCTGTCCACAGCTATCATTTCTGCCTGATAGTCTTCAATATGCCAATACACTGCAAAATCTGGAAATCCATGGTTGTCATGGCTTAAATGCGTTGCCTGAGTGGATCTTAAATCTTTCACTTCTAAGATCTTTGGCAATATCAGATTGTCCTAATATCACATCACTTCCAGACAACCTTCAATGCCTCGGCAATCTCCAGCGTCTTTCTATTCAAGAATGTCCTAGGCTTGAAGAACATTACAAGAAAATATAGGTGATGGCTGGCCAAAATAGCTCATATTGCACATATTTACATCGGATCACCAGAGCTCAATAAAGAGAATGTTGCCAGTAGCTCATTGCGCTGAAGTAGAATAAATCCCATCTATGTGGTGATGCTCTTGGTAGGTCAACTTCTTTCTTCTCCTTCGATTGCTTCTCATTCAATAAGTTTCTTTTACCAATGTTTTCTTTCAACAGATTATCAATGTCAGCGAACGGGAATTGGGGAAGCCCGAAAATTACGACTTCAGCATAGAAGAAGTACTGAGAAAACTTATCCCGTCAGCTACAGGTCTATAAAAATTAACATTTAAATAATTCAAGAGGGATCTTCCAGCGAGGATCTCAACATGTACTAGTCCAATCCCGAGGGAATGCCGCCGGCACCACCCCTTATGTCTTTTCGAAAAAGAGATTCAGAACTAAATTCAAGCAGGAACAGAAGTATAAGATGTTGGAATTAGCCGAGAAACTGGGCTGGAGAATCAACAAACAAGATAAAGTGGAGAAATTTTGCACCGAGTACGGTGTCAAAAGACAGGTTTCCAAGGTCTGGATGCACAACAACAAGAACATGAAGAAGCCGCCCCAAGATGAGTAGCATATCATCATTTCATAACGCCATATATATGTATACTTTGTATTACTATAATTCTTCATTGTAAAACCCTTGGTTATCTCTTGGTAATTCGGCTCTTGTATTAGTAATTGTTCAATTTATGTAAGTTATAATACCAGTCGTTTTCTCATAAAAAACATTTAAATAATTCACAATGAAATTTATGTTATTACTAATGAATAATTAAATTTACAATAGCATTTTTTTTGTTTTTCTAATCTCACTTGCATATCGTAACTCAAGTCTTATTGCTAACTCTCATTTTTTTTCATTTTACAAGGATAAATCTCACTTATATTTATAGATTTTAGTGATAATTAAATTGTTGACAAATATCAATATCTTAGCCATTAATCTTACAAATATTTAAATTTTTAATATATAATTCTTAGATGTAATAATAAATATTACAAATATCTAGATTATTTTTATATATTTCTAGATATTTACTATTTTTATATTATTTTTGAATATTCTCAAGATATATCTCCTAAAGATAATTATAGATTTATCTAGAAGCTGCATTGAATTTTAACAATAACATTTTGAAGTAGTTACAAATAGGGTTGTAAATGAGACGAGATAGATCGCGAGCTACTCGAGATCGATTCGATCAAGGCTCGATAAATACTCGGATCGAATGGACTCGACTCGAGCTCAACTTGAGTTCTTAACGAGCCGAAACGAGCTACTTAATATTTGACTCGAAATGCTCATAAGCAGCTCGAAAATATAATTTTTTAATTTTTTAAAAATAAATTATTAATAATATTAACATTTATGTATTGATTTTTTAAAAAATACAGCAAGATTTTTATATATCTAAGGTTCAGGTTTGAGTTTGAGGTTGAGGCTTCAATCGAGTTAAGTTTAAGATTTTTTTTTTCATTTCGAGCATTTTCGAGCTGCTTACGAGCTTCATTTCAGGATTTCGAATTCGAGTCGAGCTTGAAAATTTTAAGCTCTCGAGTTTTCGAGTCGAGTCGAGCTTAGTAATACTCGAGCTCGACTCGGCTTGTTTGCACCCCTAGTTACAATTTATAGATAACTTGAATGATTAGATGCATACTTTTCAATATCTGGACACTTAACTGTGTTTGTTGAAAATTTATATACCATGTAGGTTTTGGTTAATTTCATTTTAGAGTAGATATATTTTTAAGTAGGGAAAAAGGTATCAAAGACTCTTGTACTTTAAAAAATATAATATGACCCTCATATTATTATTTTTCTTTTAATATGACTATTCAACTCTGAAAACAAATTTAATGTGGTCTTTTAATCAATGTTTTTCATCGTTAATCGTTACGATGTTGACGTGGCAGCTCACAGCGTTGATATGACGATCCACGGTGATAACGTGGCAGTCCATAGTGGTAGATGACATGTCAGATGCAGTAAATTGGTTTTTTTGGTTTTTTTTCAATTATCAAATTAATTTTTTTAAGTTCAATGGCTTATTTAATTTTTTAAAAAAATAAAAGTTATTTTAATTTATAAATATAAAATTGTTCAAATATTAAAAAAAACTAAAAATAAAAATTAAATTATTAAAAATTGAATATATATAATAAGTTTTAAAATAATTATTTATAAATTATTACAAAAATTAAAATATTTTTAAAAGGATATGTCATACATAACTAGGGGTGCCGGATTTGCAGGTACCCGGAACTTCCAGGTCGACGATTTCTCGGCCCGTGTCCCGACCCGGATGTTACGGGTACCCTGTAATCGGGTCCCCGGATTTTGCGGGTACCCGGTAATCGGGTACCCGATACCCATGTTTTTAATTTTTTATTTTCAAATTATTAATTTAAAAAAATATATACACAAATTTAAATGTTCGAAACTTCGAATTACATCCGAACATAAAATTTAAAAGTTCAAAATACAAATTATAATAATCCATAATATAAATAATTCATTATATTTTATATAATTATATAAAAAAAACTAACCGGGTACTCGGGTAACCGGGTACCCGGAAAAACTAGATTTTGTGACCCGGGCCTGACCCGGGAATTGTCGGGCCGGGTACCCGACCCGGCCGGGTAATTTTTTTAGAGAATTACCCGGGTTTTTTAGATTCAGGTCGGCAGGTCGGCGGGTCGGGTAAACCGGGTCAGGTAATTTTGCACACCCCTATACATAACATATCCATGTAACATATAGGCATATCATTAATGCTTATACGAATTATTCTTAATAGATTAATCGATAATTACAAAATTTAAATTAGTTATATTTATACTTTTTGGATTAGTCAAAAAAATATTATATTTTCTAATTATATTTTTATAAGTCTTGGCTAATTTAAAAGATAATTATATAATAATTTTAACATAAAAGATTATTATAAAATATAGTAAGTTTAGACAAATCCAAAATTTGTAAGTCTTAACTAATTTAAATTTTGTAAGTCTAGATTAATTATGTAAGAATACTTTGTATAAGTGTTGATGATATGCATATATATTACATGTATATATTATGTATAATATATTTTTTAAAAATGTTTTTTTTAATTTTTTTTGAGTTATCATTACAATATATATTCAAACAATTTTAATTTTTATAATAGTTTTAGTATTTTTAATATTTATATTTAATTTTTATTTTTAGTATTTTTTATATTGAACTTTTGAATATTTGAATGATTTTATATTTAAAATTTTAAAATAACTTTTATTTTAAAAAAAAGAACTAAATATGCCGTCTAACTTAAAAAATATTTTGAACCTCGAACAAAACTAAAAAAGTAATTTATCCCATATGTCACATCATCAGCTACAATGGATTGTCAGGTCATCACTATGGACTGTCACGTTAGCACTTTGAACTCCCACATTAACATCGTAACATCCTAGCCCGTATCCGACACGAATACGAGTCTAAGATGTCACGTTGACTTTTCAAAACCTTTTTCTTACAAAATATCAAGACATTTGAACTCTTTTTAAGAAAATACGATAATATATTGTTGAATCATGTTTGTTATAACCAATTTAAGAAAATATACGTTTTATGAACAGTAAAATATGGGAATCGATACCCTGCTACAATACTGCTACAATTTGTAATAGGGGAACCGATTCCCTTGCTACAGGGAATCAATACCCTGCTACAATACCGCTACAGTACTTCCGTAAAAATACGTATGAATTCATAAAAATCTAAGGTTTCATCAATATAAAATTATCATTTACATATACACATTTAAAACATTAAAAAATTCAATTATATGATTTTACAAAACCGATTAAAACATATCGTATTCAATCTTTGTTTACATGCCAACCATTATAAGTATTACAAAATACATACTATTAACGTCTTTTCTGATCTGATCTTTGGAAATGAGAAACTGACCTGTCTTGCATAACTTTTATCAATCTTCCTCTTCTCGAAACCTACGCGTGAAACACTCACACGCTAAGTTGTTGACTTAGTGAGACATATAAAACATAATTATATGCTAAATGTAACTTCTACAATGCATGAACATAACAAATACATTTATTCTTCTCTGTAACATATACATACATGCACATAACATCATTAACATGTTTATCATTTCTCATTTTATCATCATTAATTTCTTTTTATACCATATCCATATATATAATATAAACTCTAAATCACACTCATGTATAAACGATTTTCAATCTCATATAACAAATACATTTCACTTAGGAATACACACAATATCACATATAAATCTTATAATTACTTTTGATATCTTTTATAGGCTCATGTACATTATTGAAAACTTAAGGTATGTGAGTACTGTGAGGTTGTGCACTATGTTGTCACCACAACTCGTTGTCACCACATATAATATGTTGTCACCACATATAAATTCCTTAAGAATCATATACATATACCAAGGATCAAGTAGGTGTCTTAAAAGACCTCATACATGTTCCAAAGAATACATATATGTCCCGAAGGACCACATAGAATTATCCCGAAGGACCGCGTAGACCCTCCACTCTTGGCATGCCAACTATACCTCTAGATCTCATGACACATGACATGGGCATTATCTTTCATATTTATGACATATTCATATCGACACATAGTTCACTTACACGTAGAACATTTTCATATGATTTATATTCACATGTCACATAGCTTATACCTTGTTCTTATGTCTTTTCATAGATATATATATTCTTTCTCACGTAGTCACATAGATCCATATCATATAACATATATCACATGTTCATGTAATCATATAAATCGTATCACATAACTTATATTATTTCTCATGTGTTCATGTAAACATGCATGTCATATTTTGTTCACGTATATTCATATCACATAAATCACATAGCACATATCAATTCATATAATCAAGTATACATACA